TAGAGAGAAAGAGAGAGATGTGTAATTGTGAGGTGTGTTCTATTTCACCCCATTGTGCCTTTATTTATAGTAGGAGGATAGGTAAAATCCTTACCCTTTAGGATTACAACTCTTAATAGGTAATCAACTCCTAATAGGAATATAAAGAGATATTCCTAGATCTACTAGGATTTACACAATCACATTCCTAATCTAATAAAACTACAACAAAAAAGACTTCAAAAATTATCGGTTGGATGATGAAATTTATTTTTTAAGGCTTTTAGATTTTAATGCCCCATGGTTTAGTTTCTTAGCTGATGAGGTTGCTAAAAGGACTTTTTATCCTTATTTGGATGGAGAATGCGGAAAAGGATCCTTGCCAGATCCTTTTCTTGGGGATCCTGGGATTCCATGATCATTGTCGTTCATCATACATCGTGCGGTCAATTTTCGTTAAGTACTATTTATATTTAATTTTAAATTTTAAATTTCAAATGATTTATGACCGCACAATGTACGATGAACGGCCACGATCACAGGATTCTCATGAAAATGATCTAGCAAGGATCCTTTTCCGGAGAATGTGGGCATGTTGTTGACGTGGGTCCATATTCAAATAGGAATGTAATTATTAATTGGAGATTTGATTGTACTTCCTAGTTAGTCTAGGTATCTTCTATGATTCTTGTACCGCAAGAGATGCGGCTAAAGTGTATAAATGTTTCCTCCAAGAGGGAGAAGAATAACAAACAAAAGTTAAACCCTGATACACTTTTTATCTTGGTATTAGAGCCACAGAGTGGACCTGTACTGTCACATGATGAGTGGGTCCCCTTGGCTCACGTGATGATAGTGTGTCTCTTGGCCTTGCGTGTAGGGTGAGTGTGGAAAAAACCGACATGCGAAAGAAGGGGAAATGAGAAGTGGGGTGTGGGACCCACGGGCCTAAAAAATTAATAAAATAATAAGGGGAAAAATATTTAGGATATTGAATTTACTAAAATGCCCTCGAGTTACGTAATTTCGTAAAATCTTCATCGTAATTCCGAAATCAATTCTACTTGCGCCTACGTGTTCGTATAGTGACGAGTACTACACAAATACGCTAAAAGAATGGGTCATACGTCTCTCTATACGATGGTCAACGGAAGTCAACTTTATCGCCTCTATGACATTTTGATCATTTTACACTTATAGTATTCAAATATTGTAAAATCAAGGACAGGTCCTAACACTATGGGGCACTACCACCTAGGCTGTAGGGTGTTGGGCTGCAGCATGGTGCCCCCTATTCTTTGTATGTATATTTTTCTTTCAATTTCTCCCTCAAACCGTCTTCTAAATATTTTCTTCGTGCTTTCCATGCATTAATTTTTCAAGATGCATCTCTCTCTAGTCATGGAGGTGACGAATATCCACCCCCCTAGTATTATCAGGGCAGGTCTTCTGGTAAGATGGGCTACTTCAAGGCTGCTCACGTCAAGATCAATTCCTAAAGCTATATTCACTAATAAAATAAGAAAATTGACACTTCATAATTCAAAAATTTCCCTTTTTTTATTTTTTATTTTTTTTACTCAACAGTGAAAAACAACATTAGTAATGATTCAAAGAAAATTCATGCAAAGCAATATGTTTACTTCTTCCCCCAACAATTAAACCAAACATTGTCCTCAAAGTTTCAAAAATAAAACTCAAACAATAAAAGACAAACTAGCAAACATGACTCACAACATAAGCCAAGTATGGCAAAGTAAAAAAATAAAAATAAAAATAAAGAGAAGCGTAAAAGAAAGTAAATCTAGTTGTAGAAGTTGTGAATTCGATCATCTCCATCTTTGATCCACATGGGTTGCCTTCCAAGAAGTGCTTACTTTAACGTCTTCCAGCCAGACAGTACGTCCAACTAATCCACACTAGGACCTATGGCATGGAGGGGTACATCATCTACGACATGCTCCTCAAAATGCTCATAGTAAGTCTTCAATCGATGTCCATCCACTTTAAATTCATCTCCAATCTTTAAACTTTTAATTTGGATTGCACCATAAGTAAAAACATTCGTAACAACAAAATGACTTAGAATTCACAAAGGGTCATTGTACGACCAGTCAATTGAATGTGATCAAAGCTCCATATTATCGGTGGTAGGTGCTGCTCAGTGGTTCTGTCCAAATGTGAAAATGCTTGTAAACGCTCTCGAAAGCTAAAGGAGTAGGAGCTTACCTCGTCTACTGAAACAGTAATGGGCAGTATTACATCGTTTTTTACTGCGTGCAATCTTTGAAATCCAGGTGCGTTGCATTCATTGATACACGAAACATAAATAAAACATCAACTGCAACACAAATAAAAAAATAAAAAAAATAAAGGAGACACAATGCCCCCAAAACTAGGAATAATACTTAGATACTCACTAGTGAGTATTCTATGTACTCACTTTCTGATTTGGCCCAACTTTTTTTTTTTTTAGTACAACGATATATTTTACACTTAGGGGAGAGAGTTTGGCTAAGTCACACAATGGGCAACTTAATTTGAAATCGAATTTGCCATCCACGAGATTTGAACCTAAAAGTAAAAAGAATATTACTAAACCGTAGTACTGAGTGGCGATTTGACCCAATTAAAAAATATCACATGTTCCTTGTTTTTTTAAAGCCCAAGAAAAATTAAAAACATATCTATTAATTTTTAAACAATAAAACATGTGTTAAAATATTATTGGACAAAATTAAAGTAAGTACTCACTTATGAGTGCCCAACTATTATCCCCAAACGAGAAAGTAAATAGCGAGTAATGACGATATTCTTGCATGTAGTGGATTGTTTTGAAGGTTGCTTTTTTTTTTTTTATAAAGACAAAAGCAATGCCTATGTTGCACTAACTAGTATCTATTACAAACCTGATTCAATCTTGAATTTATGTCAAAAACATGAGAAATGCTAAAGAGACTTTCTAATAAGTGGGACTCTCTATCATCTTATAGTTTGTTCTCAATAAACATTCACCAAGTATTAGATGCTAAGCTACAATAAATATAATGTTAAAGTGTTAGTGCGATACACCAACTTCACCCTTTTCCTTTCAGCAGTACTAAATTAAGGGAAAGATCTTGAAAAAAGAGCAGCATGAAAGACAAACAAGATGCATATTGGGTTGAATATGTAGTGTATTCGGTCTTCGGCATCTAAGTTTGAATCTGTTTCCTTAAATCAGAATAGTAAAAATACCATCATGTGACCCAAAAAAGATGAAAATTATAATCACACCTTTTTTTTTTCCTCCTACGCATTTTTTTAACAAATTAAGTAAATTAAAATAGAAAAAACAAATATGGTTAAATGGAAGAGTGTAGAGATATGAATAGGGATGACAATTCAAACCATTAAACCCAAAAATTGTGGATAACTACCCAAATGGAACAAATTTGGGATGAAAATTCGGTTATATTTCGAATATGGGGAAAAACAGAAAGTATTATTAGGTTATAGTTGTGGATATAACCGTGGATAACTACCCGAATGGAACGAATTTGGGATGAAAATTCGGTTATATTTCGAATATGGGAAAAAACAGAAAGTATTATTCGGTTATGATTGTGGATATGGTTATAAGGGGTCTAATCCGTATCTATATCCAAAATCGACCCGAACAATACATATTATATATAATATATAGCATAGAGTGTGTGTGTGGGGGACGCCGGGCCCGCGGGGGGTGGGGGGGAGGAATTTCGAATAATACATATTTTATATATATATATATATATATGTATATGTATATATATTCACCAGACCCATACTCAAATAATACATATTATATATATATATATATATATATATTCACCAAATCCATTACCTTGAAAATTACAAAAGTTGCATTTTGTGAAAAAGTTCAAAAGTTTTGAATCAAAACCAATGAGAATTCAATGACTTATGGGAGGGATCAAAGATCAGCCTACATCACCAATATATCTATTATATTATAATGACGACATTAGTATCTAGGGGGGAATTTCGAATAATACATATTATATATATATATATATATATTCACCAAACCCATACTCAAATAATACATATTATATATATATTCACCAAACCCATTACCTTAAAAATTACAAAAGTTGCATTTTGTGAAAAGGTTCAAAAGTTTTGAATCAAAACCAATGAGAATTCAATGGCTTATGGGAGGGATCAAAGATCAGCCTACATCACCAATATATCTATTATATTATAATGACGACGTTAGTATCTATTATATTATAATACACATATTGAACGAATATATTTTTAGTACTATTCTAAAAATTCTCATCTAGGCACTAGGTGGCTAGTCACCGCCCCGATTAATGCCTAGGCGTTTGAAAATTAAGAAGGGGTGCCTAAACCTGCTAAGGCTCTCTCTTAGACCGCCTAGGCACCTGCCTAGCCTGCTCAGACCCTCCTAAGCACCCGCATAGGTTGCAACTCACTTAGACAGAAAATAGATAACTTTCATTTTGAATTTTATTTTTTTTCAATAAATTGTAAAAGACTTGTTGATTACTTCTCTATGTTTTCATTGTGTTCCAATACTTCATAATATATATGTCATTCTATTTTGTAGTTTATGATGAACTTATATATATTTTAAGTATAACAAACACGTATTTACATGAAATATAAAAGATTTATTTAAATCCACCTAGGCGCTAGGCCCCAACCTATCGCTCAACTAGCGCCTAATGTGTTTTAGAACTATTGATGAAGATGGATATAATCGTTAACTGATAGATAATCTGTTACCCGGTGGATATGATTATCGATAATCTTCAATGGCTAATTTGCGGTTATGAATATAATTATTTTTTATGATTTTAATGATAAATATAGTATTTACGTTTCCAAACTGAACCGTTAACATCCTAGATATGAAAGAAAAAGAAAAAAAAAGCGCGGTCACTGGTTATTATTACCCAAAATAAATGGAGAAAAAAGAAAAGAAAAACAGGATAAGTAACCAACCAAGGCCCATTCCCGCCAAACATTCCAAAAACCCAAATTTCCCATTTTTTGGTCGATTTCCTTAAACCCTAGTACCCTACCCTCCAACCTAACGCACAGCCACTCACACTCAAACCTCAAAAACCCACACCTCCGCATAAACCCTAGCCACCTCTCGCCCACCGCTACCAAGTCTATGGACCCAAACGCCGTGAAAACGGAGCTGGTCCTGATTCTCGACTATGGCTCCCAATACACCCACCTCATCACCCGCCGGATTCGATCCCTCTCCGTTTTCTCCCTCTGCGTCTCCGGCACAAGCCCTCTCAAATCCATCACCGACCTCAACCCCCGCGTCGTAATTCTCTCCGGCGGGCCCCACTCCGTCCACACCCCGGACTCCCCCAGCTTCCCGGCCGGATTCACCGAGTGGGCCCAGGCCAACGGCGTGTTCGTGCTCGGCGTCTGCTACGGGCTTCAGTTGATTGTGCAGAGGCTCGGTGGAGTGGTTAAGGTTGGGGAGAAGCAGGAGTATGGAAGGATGGAGGTTGAGGTGGAGAGAAACACCGGGATTTTCGGGTCCAAGAAGGTTGAGGATAAGCAGTTGGTTTGGATGAGCCACGGTGATGAGGTGGTGAAACTGCCGGAAGGGTTTGAGGTCGTGGCGCGAAGCCAGCAGGGATCGGTGGCTGCAATTGAGAGTCCGGCCAGGAGGTTCTATGGGTTGCAGTACCACCCGGAGGTAATTGGGTTTGGTTTGAATTTTTGGTTTAGTTGGTTTTTGGATAGTTTGCTTTGGGAAATTTGGTTGTTGATGCTGGCATGGTTATGTTATTATTTGATTGAATCATTTTGGTGTTAGTCATCATTTGGTATTAAGAAATTAAACTTCTTCAGTTGTTGGTACATTAAATTTAGTGTTCTTAGATTATGTAAATTATGAAAATTTATGTCGATCAGTTTATGTTTTTCCGAGGATTATCAGTTTTAGGAAGTTTGGTGTTTGCTGTTGGCATGGTTATGTTATTATTTGATTGCATCCTTTCAGTGGAAGTCATCATTTGGTATGAAGTGAAGAAAACAACTTTTTCAGTTTTGGTACATTAAGTTAAGTGTTCTTAAATTATTTAAATTCTGTGGATCAGCTGGGTTTCTTCGGAGTGTTATTGGTTTGAAGGATGTTATCAAATTGGGTGTTGATGTTTAATGATTGTCGAACGGCTATGTTTATCTTGGTGTAGCATAAAAATAACTTTCATCATTAACTGTTAATGCTATATTTTTTCACGTGTTCTGACTCTGCTGTAATGTTTCATTGTTTTTATTTATAATAATAATTGTGTGCAACTCATTTAAATTTCTAGAGAATATTTGTATTTTAGGAGTCTTGGTTTTTGTTTGGAACTTAGTCGTCTTGTGGTAAAAAAAAGTGATGTAAAATGTTAGAGGAATTGCTCTAGGATGCCTATTGTCCTTCTTGTTTGTACTAGCATTTGAAATGTTGAGTATTATCGGTTGAAATTTCAAAATGTTATTGGCATTTAAAATTGCTTCATTAAATGAGATTTGAAATCCTGTGTAGGTGACTCATTCGCCAGAAGGGATGGAGACGCTTCGATACTTTTTATTTGATATTTGTAAAGTCAGTGCAGGATGGAGTATGGAAAATGTACTGGATGAAGAAATAAAAGTGATTAAAAGCACGGTTGGGGCTGAAGATCATGTCATATGTGCATTATCAGGAGGTGTCGATTCCACAGTTGCCGCAACTCTTGTTCATAAGGCAATTGGCGATAGGCTTCATTGTATCTTCGTTGACAATGGTTTATTGAGGTGAGAGCAGAAGCAGTTTAACCACATGGACAGGTTAACACTTTGCATTTGCTGTAGACTATAAATTGTATATTATGTGCTTCCCTTATTAAACTTTGTTCTTTGTGTAGATTTAAGGAGAGAGAACGTGTGATGGAAACCTTTGAAAAAGATCTTCATTTGCCTGTTACTTGTGTGGATGCCACAGAACAATTTCTTAGTAAGCTTAAAGGTGTTGTTGATCCTGAGACAAAAAGGAAAATAATTGGAAGGGAGTTCATTTGCATTTTTGATGCTTTTGCACATGATTTGGAGCAAAAATTAGGGAGGAAACCTACTTACTTGGTCCAAGGGACCCTGTATCCAGATGTGATTGAATCTTGCCCGCCACCTGGAAGTGGAAGGACTCACTCTCACACCATCAAGAGCCATCACAATGTTGGAGGGCTTCCCAAAGACATGAAACTGAAGCTCATTGAGCCTCTTAAACTTCTATTCAAGGATGAGGTAGCTTCCACCCTCCTACTATTTAGCATATGCCATGCATTAATCTTCCTTTGGTGCACAATTATTGATTTTGTCGTCTTTCTTTCCCTGACATATAAAGGTTCGCGAATTAGGGAGGATCTTAGATGTTCCTCAGGGATTTCTCAAGCGCCATCCATTTCCTGGCCCTGGCCTTGCAGTACGAGTCTTGGGTGATGTAACACAAGGCAATGCATTGGATATCCTCCGCCTGGTATATTTGCTTGTCATGGAGTTAAATGCTTGACTACTTTGGTTTTCTAATATTTGTTGGTCACATTTTTCTTTGTTTACTTCTTTTCAGGTTGATGAGATATTCATACAATCAATCAAAGATGCTGGGTTGTACGATACAATCTGGCAAGCATTTGCGGTCTTTTTGCCTGTAAGATCCGTTGGGGTTCAGGGCGATCAAAGAACACATTCTCACGTTGTTGCCCTCAGAGCTGTAACAAGTCAAGATGGGATGACAGCTGACTGGTATGCCCTCAATTGTGCCACATATCATGTTATTTATCATTTCCTACCTTTACGTTTGTTGTGTATATTCTCTAAGTCATTAGGTGTGCTAACAGCACTTGTCGATGGTCATAAGTTCCCTGATGTATGAACACGAATTTGAAAATTTCAGGTACTATTTTGAACATAAGTTCCTTGATGATGTGTCCCGAAAGATTTGCAATAGTGTTCGAGGTGTAAACAGAGTGGTTCAAGACATTACGTCAAAGCCCCCATCAACAATTGAGTGGGAATGATGCCTCGTCCGTTCGATGCTTCAGGACTTGCACTTGTGGCAAAGTTAACTAGTCTTCACAAAGCTATGATTTTTTTGGATGGGGTTTTGAATGGTAATTCCATGAACATTATGCGAACATCATGATTGTAAGTTGTATTCTATGTTTGTTTTTAGGGATGGCCATAGGAATCTTGTTCAATGGGTCAAGTAATTTTCTGTCGGGAAATTAACAGAAGGGATTATGTGAAACAATTTAAAACCTTAAAAGGATGATAGTTAATTTTTGGAACTTGAAGGGGTTTTTGTTAAAATATGAAAAACCTCAAGAGGTGATTAGCGTAAATAACTCTAGCCAAAGACATATTTTCAGACAAACTTGTTACAATAAGACCTATAAAAACACATGGGTTTGGGGAAAGGATCTCTCGAATATTGGGTAGCTGTCGTTGAACCCGGTAGAATACTTTATGAAATGAGCAGAGTAGCAAAAAATATAGCTAAAAGGGCTATTTCAATAGCAGCATCTAAAATGCCTATACGAACTTAATTCATTCTTTCTGGATAGGAATGTAAAAGCAAATGACAAATTCATGTCCATTTTTAGGAGAAATTATGGGGTGGGAAGTTTGGGAGAAATTTTGGGGGTGGGAAGGGGGAATCTCATTCTCACCCATCTGCTCAAAGACATGAAAACATCTCACTCTGGTCTATTCCTCGTAGTTTTAATATTTGACACATGATATGATGGAACATCAAGTGACAGTGAAGTCGATTCATATCTGTACTCTTCATCTAATCTTTTTTAGTCTAATTTAATGTCACCAAACAACTATTTTATCCGGGCATCCAGAAAATATCTCTCTGGTCTATTTATCATAGTTTTAATATTTGACACATGATATTGATGGGACGTCAAGTGATAATGAATTCGTTTCATGTTGTTACTCTTCATCCAACCTTTTTAGTCTAATATAATTTCACTAAACAACTATTTTATCCGAGCGTCCAGAAGAAAGAATTTCCCAACTCAAAATTAGGTAACGATAGACTCAAGTTCAATGGAATCTGGATCCTGGGGATCAGTGAATTGTGTCCATTCATCGTACATCGTGCGGCCAGAAATCATTTTAATTCTTTTTATTAAAATTAAAACAAACAGTACCTAACAAAACTAGTCACACGATAAACGATGAACGAATATAATTCACGGATCTCCAGAATCCTCACAAAGAGAATTCGGAGAGGATCCTGTTGGAGTTCAATGAATCTAAAAGGCTTTTTTAGTCAAAATGGTCCATGAGATTTGCATAACACATAACTTTGGTCCATGAGGTTTAAAATCAATAGATGTGGTTCCCAAGATTGTCCATCATCCATTATTTTGGTTTTTCCGTTAAAAAACTCTATTAAGTTGAGGGTATAACACATAACTTTGGTCTCTGAGATTTGCATAACATATAATTTTGGTCCCTGAGATTTGCATAACACATAATTTTGATCCCTGAGATTATCCATCATCGATCATTTTGGTCATTCCGTTAAAAAGCTCAGGGACCAGTTAATGGTGTTTTTTAATGGAATGACCAAAATAGTGAATGGTAGACAATCTTAAGGACCACTTCTATTGATTTTAATTTTAAATCTTAATGATCAAAATTATGTGTTATGAAATTATCAGTGATCATTTAAGCTAAAAAACCAATCTAAAATTCACTCGACAATGATGGGATGGGGCTTGTACGAAGAGATAACTACAGTAGGGTTAAAATTCAACTTTTGTGTTGCTTGGTAAACTTTGTTGCTTTCACTTCTTGTCTCTATTTATTATTTTTTGACAATTTGGGGGGGGACCTTTGGGAAATATGAATCCAATCCATAGATTAATCATGAGTGCACTGACCTTAGCACCTTCAAACTCTTGAGGATTTGGAAATTTGATTGGAGTACTTATCTAGGATTAAAAAGATATCCTATGTAGAATGATTAGACATTGAGGTCCTAAGTGTGAAATCTATCATCTCTTCAATTATGCATTTTAACCCTTTTTATCAATTCTTCTTTACAAATTGACATGACCCTAAGGTGCATGAATACCCGCCAAATGTTTACATAAATCTTTCTACGATTCTCATCAAGACTAATGTGACAGCTCAAGTATAAAAGTAGTTGTCTCATCAGTTGATTCAACATAAGTTATGTTTTTCTCTTATGATAGGCTTATGGTGTCAGCATAGACCTATGCTCCCGATACCTTTAAAATGTGTAATATACATAAATACATAAGGGGATAAATATGTGGCATCATATTTTTTACACAAGATTTGACACAAATATTAGACCATTAGATTAGCTATCCTACATTGAATAGGGAAATCATGTATGGCTGAACACCACTGTGAGAAAAGAAGAAAATTTCTTACCGCCGCTGCCGCCGTCGCCGCTACCAAGTAACCCTTGATGAGAAGGAAACTTGTTACACGCCTATATTGAATGGGAAATCATGTATGGCTGCACACCACCGCGAGAAAAGAAGAAATTTTCTTACCGCCGCCGCCGCCGCCACCAAGTAAAGGGTTTTTGGGTTTGGGTTTGTTTCCAAAAATTGAAAATGATTACTAGGCTGCAACTCTACGACGACCACATCTGGTAATTCTTAACAACAAAATTAGGTGGACTAGTACAATCAAATAGTAACAAGTCCTTGAAGAATTTCAACACGAGTCATAAGAATGCAAGAGACTCGGAGATGACGAGGAGACAAAAAAAAACAAAGAGAGAATTCCAAACAAAAAAGAAAAAGAATGAGATCGAGCAGACCATTAAAGGGAAAAAAGAGAGAATTAAACATGTAAATTGTTATTGACACTCTTAAAATCCCATTTAGCACTTCAAATTTTCTAAAACTAGAAGAAAAAAATACTTACGAGAGTGTAGAATAAGATTTTTGGAGTCCTAATTACAGTTCCCTTAAACATAATTAATATAAATAATTGAGAAATTATAATTCGAAGTTCGATTTTTATTTCTAATATGCATTTGTTTGATAAAATTAATTGATATGTCGGATAATATCTCAACCATTAAAAGTGAGTTGATCTAATAATAAGTTTGTGCCAAATCTTGAGTTATATATATATATATATATATATATATATATATATATATATATATATATATTGTATAATAATAATGAGAAAGCAAGGAAAAAGTGTAGGGATCTAAAATAACGGAACTTAGCAAGTGGCTATTTACCACAGTGATGGAGAAGAGTGTTGCCCTTGCACTATGGCGTGGATTCGAACTTCGTCAATCTCTAATCTAACAAATCTATCATGTGAAAATAAATAAATAAATAAATAAATAAAGGACCTTGTTAGTGAAATAAATTGTCTTCTCTGGGTTGTCAAATTTGGAATGAACTCAGGAATTACAGGAAACATCAATAATAGTGACGTTCGGAAAGCCATTGACGTTGACGCCCACTACAATCAGGCCATGGCCGAAAGAGGGACGGGAGGGGATGAGGGAGTTTGGAGAAAGCAGCAGCATGCTCAATTTGATCAGGCCATGGCTGGAAGCAAGGTTCTAAAAGATCTTAGGCATTAGTTGGGCAACGAGCTGGTGCCTAAAGACTAATTGGGATGGTGGTTAGCCGTCTAGTACTTAGGCGAGGCCAAAACGGGCTGGTTGCAAAGTCAAATTATGATACAGACGTTTTAATGGGGCCTTGTTGGTATGAGTGTTGTCAAATAATAATGGACCACTGCAAACATTACACCTTACCTTTTCTTTTCTGTCTACTGCTGCAAGCATTCTTTGTCGTAATTTCTTACAAGTTCTATAATTATTTTGCACATGGCCAATTGTATTTATAATCACCTCAAACATACAACTTATGTCGTAAGAAAACACTGTCTACATCGTTAATTCTTAAAATTTATACAAACATGTATGTTATACGAACCTTGTCTAATCTTCGTACTCGAATGGCGAACAATCGACATCTAAAAATTTCAATGTCATTCTTATGTGCAATGTTATCCGTTCTCTGTGCAAGCAATAACAACTGGTATGGGTTCAACGCTTGAGTACTACACACGTTTTAGCTGTTAGAACTTAAATCTTCGATTTTCAATCTCAATCGTTCATTTTTTGTACCACTCAATGCTACGTACTATTGAAGCAAACTTGATAACAATAATAATGCTTCTTTCTGTCTAAAACTATCTGGTTCTATAACAAACTGATTTCTAAGCCTCCTTGAGTTGATCACACTGCTGAATGAAATGCTGCCTTAAAACTCCAAGCTACAGGTCAGGTTTCTTAGGTACAGAATCACATATAAATAAATTCTTGAAGAAAATTATGCATTTAACACAAGTCCTTAATTCCTTCACTAGACTATGACGACGACTACTACTACCTGCAGGAAAAAAAAATCCTCAAAGAGGCTCATGGTTCTTACACCGTCAATCTACAGATCCTTTCAACGTTATGCAATTGTACAATGACAGAATTCAAGAGATCACTACGAACGCGAGATACATCAACTTCTGGCAATTCTGTGAAGTGCTTGCTTGATTGTCCCCGTTGATGCAATACTCGTCCCCCTGAACTGCAAATTAAGAAGAAAACGATGGTTAGTTATTTGCAGGCCTCCAAGAACCCAAGTGCATCACATGATGGTGAATCGTTCCCTTAAACCACTGAAAAATGTAAGATAGACCATATTCTTCATGTAACTAAAATTTCATACCCTGGATTTAATGGTCAGGGAAAGAATCCCATCTGCGGTGGATGATTGAACCGAGTGAGTATCTAAACGAAGCCGGCTTGTGGTATCCATGATCTCTAGCAACACTCCTTCCCTCCAAGGAAACTTCATCTCTATTAGAACATCCTTGTTGGTCATATTCACTGTTATATTGTCACTTGAACCGTTCTTCGATACAATGTGACTGATTTCTGGTTCTGTTTCATCCATGTCACTGGCCTTCCTCTTATAAACTATGGGCTTCTTCCCGTTGCTAATTTTGGTGTTGCAACGGTTGTCAGATGTTCTTTCAACTGTATCTTGGAGTTTCCTCTTTATTTTTGCTTCTGAATCTGTTGGTTCCCGTATCGATTCCAACTCTTCAACCCTTTTCTGAAGATCTTTCAAATACTCTATTGCATCATCTAATATGGATACTTTGTCCTCCTGTGTAAACAAAGTCAAAAAACAAATTACTTCGCATTTGATGTCAGTAAACAAAATCTTAATCGAGTTTTACCTACCTTGCTAACTGA